AAAAAAAAAAAAAAAACACATCTTAGGAAAACCAATACCTTCTCAGCTTCGCATCGAAGCTAAAATATTTAAAGATGACTAAGGGTGTGTCCAAAGACGAGAGATATTGTGAGGTTCATCACAACTGAATAATTTAGTATTTAAAATAAATTTAGAGCGTATAATAACCGATTTTTTAATATCTATGTATAAACATCGCTCAATGAAAAATTCCAGGTACGTAACTTAAGATAATGTATTAATTCAAGAAAAAAATGTGAATATTTCATTTGTTAAAGGAACGTTTTAATAATTTGAAAATAAATTATGTGGAGTAAATATATCGTCGAATAAAAAAAAAATCGCAGCAAAAAACATTCAAATCGAAAAGGTAACACATATGGAAGTCAAATATTTAGATTTGACAACAATATTCTCTTGGTAAAATATGACTTGTTTATAATTGTTAATATTTTTTTAAATGAATAGTGTTTAGTTAAGTAAAATTCATAATTAAAATGTTTACGTAGTAAATTATTAAATCAGCGCAATCTTTATTTATTCCTCGTTAAAATTAAAAAATAGTTCTTATTAAAAAATAATAAGAATTTAGAATTAAAATAAAAGAAGTTTAAAACAAAAATGTTTTTTTTAATATGTTTAAATAGATTTTCTCTTCAAGTAATAATTTTAACCATGTTAAATGTATAATTTATTTGAGAAAAGTTAAAATGATAAATGTATGTAAGAATATTATAGAATATTGTTATAGAGTATTATCGAGTCTTGAATGATAATATTACCAATGAATAATGAATTATTATTTATTCTTTATTAATGTCTTTTTGAGTATTAAATAATTATACTTTTTAACATGATCGCTAGTTCATTTTAATATTTTTTTCTCTCGGTCTGTATAAATTAAATTCTTAATGGAAAAAGATTTTTACATTTAACCATTTGTAATGCATTTATTTAATGGCGATACTGAATGTTTCTTATTATAATACTATTTATAATACAATATCTACAGTTATTAATAACTCTTAGTTCAATCGATTATCATTTTTAGTTCTTATACAATAAAGAATCAATATCCTAAAAATTTGTAATTTTATATAATGCAATGTTTTGGCACTTAAATCTTAATCTTTGAGTGTTTCTTACTGGTTATAAAATGCTCACTAAAATTTATTTTCACTTTTCTTAGTACTGAAAGAAACTTTTATACAATCCCTTACAGTAGTATTTTATTATAAATCATTTCATATAAGTACTTACAGCTTACGACTTTTATTAAATTATATTCTAAGGTCTAGCAGTTAACGTAATTGCTATTATTATTATATAGACAACACTAATACGCTGATGTTGTCTAGATGAGAAATGAAAAAGTTAAACGTTATATATACCATACAACTGACAATTTTTTCAAGCTATATAATCTCTAGCATTTCTATTTATTGTCATAATATAAAGCAAAAGTACCTTTTTTTGTTGTGATACATGAAAAAAAATGAAAAACCATAAAAACGCAACATACAACAAAAATATAATTTTTCAACGAATGTTCACATTACGTGGTTTTGATTGTTTAAAATTATAAATATTAGTGATAGAGAATTTTTTAGAAGATCTCTTGATCAGCTAAGTTTCCGGAAGTATATTTTGTTTAAAATTTGTAATATTTTAATTATAGCAGTAGTGTAGCCAGGATTTTCGCTAGAAGGAAGACAACTAAGGACATTTTTTTGTTTTTTATCTTATCGCATTATTAGCACCAAAGTATTAAGGTCTTACAGTGTTAATAGTAATAATTGGTCAATAAAGTGGGCTAAAACTCCTTTAATCCATTGTCGTATACTTCGCTGAATAAAAGATTTCTTTACTAAATACATTATGAGCTCATTATAATTATATTTACCTTTTGTCACTCAGCATATCAATAATTTTATTATATACAACATCTTCATTAATCATGTCATATTCTAAATGTTTTCCACATCCTTTTTCGATAATGTAGTTCATATTAGAAAACTGGTCAGCAAACATAGGGATACCCATAATAGGTACACCTGAGTAAAGTGCATCTAAAATTCCCAACAACCCACAGTGCGATATGAATAGCTTGACATTGGGGTGATCTAAAACATAAAAACTAAATTTTTCATTTGAATTTAACAAAATATTACCATAATAATTATTTAAAATGTTTTGTTATTTGATAGGTATTTTTTATTTTATCATAGAAATAGGAAAACTAAATGGAACTAAAAAAACTATTAAAATGAATAAATATCAGTAGTAATACAATTTTCAAGTACTATTTGTCCGAGAGAAATAATTCAATATTGTTATATCTCATCATACAAAAATATTGTTTGTATTTCAACAAATTTGTAAATGTAAACAAAATGCTTATTCTTTACAAAATATAAATGGAGAAACTTTTTCTAAACTATGTTTTATAGCATGTAATTCAGTTAATTTATGATTTTGAAACGAATGAATACAGTACATTACAATACAATACCGTAAAATTCTATTGATGTAAACAATAATTTGTAGTTCAATATTTTTGATAGCTTTTCAGAAAATAATTTAAACTATGCTAATTTAAAGTTGATAGTTAAATAATAGAATTCAGCATAAATAACTTTTTATTCTCACATTTCTAGTTAGCCTACTCTGCAGTTGAGGTATTTTTTTATCTTCATTCGTTAAAATGTTTTTGACATTCTTTATTTACGTTATGGATTTATATAAATAAAGTTTCTTATTCGTAGTTTAGTTGAAAGTTCTCATGGTCTGTATTTACGTGATTACCTCGGTCTCCTTTTATTACTTGAAATTGTATTAAATGTGGCGAAGTTCATATTTTAGTAGTTTAAATTTAGCGTATTTAACTTAATTTGTTTTTTTGTTTAAATTAAAAAAAATTAATTCAAAGTAACCTTGTAAATTTTTTTTACAATTATTCTATAGTTTATAGTTACAACCAATCGCCAAACTTTGCACCGTGTATATTATTTGCCTAATACGACTAAAAATGTTTATAATGTGTATTATACTGAAAAATTAATTAAAGTTTGAAAATATCATATTTGTATTGTTAATAATGAAACTTTTTTCATTTTATGTATTTAAACATATATCCAATATAATGTCCATTAAAATAAATCCTTGTAACTCTAAAACACTTATTTAAAATATATTTTGTTTCATAAACCGTTCATTTAATTTAGTTTTTTGTGAATTTTAACAAAGTTTGTATATAGAATTGATATTTATCACTTTCCGAAAGTTCAACTATACCAGAACTAATTAAATCGGTATACCTATATACAGAGTGTTCGGTTTATCATTAACCACTCCATTACTGACAAAATATGTGCAAAAAAACTTTGATTTCTATTAATTGCGAATATATTCTTGATTTGTCAGCAGATATTGACATTTAAGAATCATCCCTTATAAATTAAGGAAGTGTTATCTTTATTTTTTAAAAGGCAACATACACATTTAACAAATAAAATAGGAAACAATATAACTAAGAAAATGACTGGTCGATTATATTATTTTGTGCCAATACTTAAAAAAAAATGATTCTCATTTTATACCTAGTCGGAACAAAAAGTACGGTCGAGAAATAGCTAGTGATAAAAATAGCAGCTAATACCCATTCATCACCATCATTCATTACTATAAATTGTTAATAAATTCTGAAACACTGTTACAAAAGTCGTTATCGACCAGTTTACTTAATTACTTAATTAAATTATATTCTATTTTATAAGCTAATCAAATAAGTATGTTGCCATTAAAAAAAAAAATAGTTATCACACCTTTAAGTTATAAGGCATCATTCTAAAAAGCCATTATTAGCTGAAAAATCAAGTAATTAAAAGAAATTAAATGAAGTATTCATTTTGTGAGTAATCTAATGGTTTAACCGATCACCTTGTAAACATATTCAATTAAGTTCATTGTGTGTGTTTGTTGAAATCGAGTCAAATATTTTTGTGATTTTTCTATAAAAATACACACGTTTAAAAGGTAATAACTTATATATTTTCTATCTTTAAATCAAAACAAAAATATAAGTCGAAAAATAAAATAAAAGTTTGTAGAAATAGTATGAAATTAATGAATAATTATTATATTCATATATAATATTAGCAATAGAATCTCTCCTCATATTATTTACTTTAGGATTAGTACAATTCATCTTACATGAAATTTATTTATGTGCAACTATATTACATAGATCATAAAACAAATAACACTAGTCATTAATATATTAGTAATAAACTGTTGTCATGACATATTTATAAGAGCTTTCCTTTGAAATTTCATTTGTTGAGTATAAAGTTTCACAATTTTTCAGTAAACTTTTAAAATAATGACGTTTACTGTTACATTACGTAAAACAAAGTTTTGGATTTATATTGTAAACTCAAAAACGTTTTTGTATAAAATAAAATTTAGTAGAGGATATTTGAAATGAAAAAAAGATTACATCCATTAGTTATCAACATAAAAGTTTGTTTGAAATGATCTGAAATTTATTTTGTAAATTTCTTTTTTTAAATAGAATTTTTATTTTTGTACTTATACTTACTTATCAATTATACCTAAAACAACTTATAAAGTAATAACTGTCAAAATAAGATTTCCGATATAAACGTATTAAAATGACTTACTTAAAACGTCAAATTGAGGCGTCCATGAAACAAACTTTATGATATCTTGTCGGAAGCCAAATGGTGGATCATCTTCCCATTTCCAAAGTACTTTATAACCAGGTGGTAGTCGATTGAACGCCCCAAGGAATGCTTGTGCTTGGTCAGCCGGTAATGATGCGCCTTTTAAGATAGAACCCATTGAAAAGTAAATGATACCGCGTGTGGCACTCGTTATGTATTGCTCCAGATCCTTGTAAAACGCCATTATATATTGCCTAGGAAAAATATAAAACGCGCTGCACCATCTAGTTTGGGAATCATCAATGAAGTGAATCAAATGTCAAATTATTAAATTTCATTTACTATTGGCAAAATATGAAGAAATAGTTAGATTTAAAAGGTTAAATAATGCTACATTACAACAATTATCTTTTGTTAATAAAAAAATATTTTTTAATCGAAAAAAATTCTTAATTAAAAAGCATATATTATTTATTATATCACTTGAGTTATTAGATAAATTAAAAATTTAACCAATTAATTATTATTAAATATAATATAAGAAATCAGAAAGAAGGAGGTACAAGTCGTGAGAATGAAAGGCACAAGAAAAAATGACATAGGTGACAGTTAAGTAAAAGAGATAACAAGGACTCTAATGGTAAAGTATCTAGTGATGATATTAAAAGGGATCAAAGACAGTACTTCTAGATGTAATGAGCTAAAATATTGTAAGAGTCGAGCGGTTTCTCAGATGAAATAATAAAGAAAATAATAATGCAACGAGTCGCTTGGAATTTAACTTACAGAAATATATTTTTAAAGACTCGCGGAAACGGATAGACAGAAAGATGCATTAGATAAGAAAGCTTCCAGATCAGTGGACTGAAACGAAAAATCTAGAGAATATACAGCTATATATCAAAGATTTTTAAAGTTATTCTTATTCATACTTTTTTATTGTAATTCTTCCGAATAACTATTAGAAGTTTAACTAAAATCGTCCCAATATAGTTTGGGCGGTATTTGATTATGTAGCTAATTGTACAAAATTATTGATTATAAATATTAAACTTATAATTTGATTCAAACTACTAAAGAAAGTTGCATATATTTTTATATGATAAACTTTAATTATTTTGTTTCAATATTTATGTTTAGGTATATATGTCAAAAACGTAATTCATAACGAAAAAATCAATTAATTTTTAACTTTTACCAAAACAATACTTTCGGATATGACTGAAGTGAAACATTTGAAAAATGAATGTTTTAAATGTCAAATAAGTATTGAAATTCATTTATAAATTAAAACCGAAAACTGGAATTTCCATAAAATCGTTATTTCCTGTTTTATGTGCAAGCGTGTTTTGTGTACTCAAAGAGGCGTTTATTTATTTCAATACTCTAATATATAGGTATAGAGTAAATCAATTTGGTTCGTGATGGGCAAGGAAAAAAACTTTTTATTTTATTGGCAAATTATAATAATATTATGCATAATAAAAATTCAGCGTAAGCTGATCGCCGTTTTGCTTTACTTGTAATTTAGCGGAAACTGATTGGATCTCATGAAAATGCAAAGAAATCGTTATTGCAAGATTTCGAAAAAAACCGTTTTCAATTTAATAGTATTTCTTTGGTATGCTTGAAAATATACAACATTTCAAAATTAGGAATTCAAAAAAGCTGTTCAATAACATTTTTAGAAATATAATATTCAGAATAATTTATTTAAAAATTTTTTTGCGTTGGCAGCCAATCATATCTTGAAAAGGTCATACAATTGGAATATAAAAATAAGTGTGATGGCTATATATATAAACAGATCCTGTAGTAAAATATAATCCGATGTAAAAGGAAAAAAGTAAAAAATTAGTAATTCTGTTATTTTATAAGGAAGAATGAATATCAAAATAATATTCTTATATATATATATATATATATATATATATTATAAATATCTTTAGTGAGTGTATACTATTTAGATAACAAAATGATTTCATGTTTGTTTTATCTTCAGCAATTCTTTTACCGATTAAATTAAGATGATTGTTGACAAATGGAAAGCTGATAAACAAATGTAAATTTTGTTTTGTTCTCATCGACGTGAAAAGATTTAAGCAAAATGAGATATAAAATAGCTCTTAACATCACACACGTACCCTTATTCAAAATATGTTCTCGTTATAGCCTATGATAGAATATTTATTTGACAGGATATCGTTTTGTATTTCATATTAATACGGTATCTACAAATGTTCACTCAACTCGGTACCTCAATAAATTAAAGATTTTTTTGTGTCAAGATCATTTACATCAATATTATTTCAAATGTTCGCAATGAAAAATAGGAAATATATGTGAAACATAACTTTGAAAAAGAAATTAGTTGTTGTTCAATGACACTATTTAAAGCAAACGACAAACAATTTACATGACAAGAGTGTTGACATTCACAACACGGTTTTCATTCTGTTTGTATCGTAAACCTCTAACTATGCTATTGAGAAAAAATAAAAATAAAATTCTATGCACTTCGTAGTATTGAGGTAATGAAGTGTTTTGTATGAAAACTGAGCATACGTGTTTGATTCAATTACATTTAACGCTTTTCCGTGGCCTTAAAATATCCTTTCTTATCATAGCTATATAAAGTATTAACGATTGAAACGTTTGATATTTGATTGAAATGAAAACTACATAGAGGACTTGACAGCTCAATAAAATTATTTTAAAAATAAAAGTATAGGTTTTATAAACACATAGAATGAAAACTTAAGAGAAATTGTGTGTGCATAAAACAAAATACTTAGCTTGTCAATCATATTTAAAAAGTAAACATTATTTTTGAAAATGAAAAGGGTTGAACATCAAGAGTTTTGACTAATATTTCGGTAACACATTTTACTAAGTGTTTTTTCGCTTACGAAGCCAAAATGAAAATCGAGATACAGATTATAAATCTACTATGCTTCAATGTTGCGAATTATTTTAATTTTAAATGGCGAGGCAGGAAAAAATAATTTATAGGTCTTACTTGTGGTAGCGATTTGGGAGTTTTGAAAGTACATCCTCCGACTTGAATGATGCCAGGTGTATTTGGTCTTGGATCGCTAAATGTAAAGTGCGTATTCATAATCACAGCGTTCACAGCGTCAATACCTTTTGATTTGTTTTCGTGGGCCTTTCCCAAGTATTTATCAACGATTGCCTGCGCCTGAAAACCACCAAGTTAGATAAAATGCAACCACTCAAAATAAAAATTGATATAATATTTAGCACGTGACGGATTCACTAACATTTGGTTTGTATTTGAACAAATACATCAGCCTAATGATTGATAGCGTTATGGTGTTTATGAGCCGTTCGACAAATGGCATTCGAGTGGTAAACGGTAACAGGTTGACAGGTATATACGATGGGTTGATAATGTTGCCCATCATATCACTATACCATGGATAAAAACTGGTCGAAGTTACTCCAATCAACGGAGCTCCAAAACGACTGGCGGCCGATACAAAACATGCGGTGTTGAATATCTGCGATGACAATCAAAAATTAATTTTCATTTGATTTCATAATTCGATTGGTATTTAGTTATACTTTTTGATGGTTTTAAAACTTTTTAAAAGTTATTTTATATTCAATATTTAGTTAATGATATATTATTAACATATGTTTTTTTTATTTATTGAATAATTTTAAACTTAGTTTTAAAGTCAGATCAATCATCTATAGAAAAAACTAGGTATAATATCTGTTTAAAACTATGCGCACAATTTATCAAATAAAATATACCAAACAAAGGTCCTGGTTTCACCTGTTTGTGATACTATGTCGGATAAGAATAGGGTTTACTGGATAATGTCCAAAACCGTTGGTTAGCCTTTTTTACTTCCTTCCTGTTTGCGATAGTTAGTTATCTAATTTAATTTAAAAAAAAAAACAGTAGTACGTTGTAATATAATTATCTTTTGGTCAATAACTATACAAAAAGTTCTCATTAGCTTATAACTGTAAAATGTTAATTTTTTTTGTTTCCTGAAGTTTTGTAAGATTAGTTCATTAGGTTCATTAATTTATAATTGATTGCCATTGTGTCATAGTTGAATAGTTTTGGTTATTCTTACTAAAATATAAACGGTTGTAATACCATTTACTGATTTAATTAAATCCGAATAAACAACGACTGCCAAATTCTAATTTAAATTGATTATATAAATAGAGTTCTATTTCAACGACTATGAGGATTTAACGTAATACCTAAACTCAATAACCTCAATCATACTTCGTAAGAAGTATACACGTATGTATAAAAAACGCATACATTTAGTATAATCTCATCATCACTGAATCATATTTTGAATTCATACTTGTATAGGAAATTAATATGAATATATTATATTGATGGCGATAGTTGTCAGTTTTACTAATTTAAGTAAGTATTTAGTTTTGTGTCTTCTAAAAAAAAAAAAAATAGTAAGAAATTCAGGCGTTAGAGAGAAAAAAATATTTTTTTTATCAAATTTTCATGTCTAAAATTTATATTTTTATTATGTTTTATAGATATGGCCCAGTATGGTTCAGCTTAGTACGAGTATAGTTCGATCGATCCTGATTTGTACTGGAGATTTAGTGGCAAACTCCCAATTTCACCCCCTTCCCCAAATGACGTCACTGAGATTTACATTTTCAAATATTCTTGAATATTTTTTGTATTCACTTAATTTTGTTTTAAAACTTATACTATAAAATTAAAAAACTTTATGATGTTTTTAGTAAAAGAAATAACATAAATCTTCAAAAATATTATATTATCTTGCAATCTTTATATTATTTTTATCTTATAACTCAATTCAATGCCATCCACAAATATCTTCTGTATTATATTCTCCACATTTCTATACAAATTGTTGTTATTCCAGTCGTTCTTTATTAGAAACATTTGAAACTACGCGCGGTTCGTTGTAGAACACTAAATTTGTTATTGGGATCCAAAAAGCATTAGGTCGTTGTCATTTCTATTGTCCATTTATTTGATTTATTTTTAACTCTACAAATCTTAAAAACGTGCCAAAAAATAGGTACAAATATATTTAAGTTCTAAATTTTATAACACAACCCTGCCGTGTTAAAAACAAGAAAGTTTGATAAGAATTGATTCACTACGTATAGCAGTCACAAAATTTGTTTGCATTGCCTAAAAGCTACGAGAGAATGCAACTTGGTGGCCAAATAATAAGATAGAAAGCTACTAATTTATCCAGTTGCGTTCTCTCGTGGTCCGCAATGTATGGGTATTAATAAGTAAGGAAACGGGTTTCTATTGTTCTCATTATTTATAACAATTGACCTGTATCCTTATTTATTTAACACTCTGTATATATTTATATGTATAGACAGTTACATGTGATTATGATAAAAATTTCATCAAAAACTTATTTTAATATTTTGAATTGCATTATTAATAGTTTTTCAAAGTTAAGTGGAGATTTAGGAGAAGTTTTCGATTTGTAAAATAAAATAGAAAAACATATTATATTTGATAAATGTTTTGCGTGATTGCGTGTAAGAAGACTAAAAATATTTGATTACCAAAAACTTCTGTAAATATTGAAAGCTTTTATTCGTCTGAAAAAGCTAAATTTTCCACTCGTTTATATGTACTGAGTAGCCTTTTCGCGTAGTTAGCCTCACGTTATAACCTTTTCTATAATTCACGAGTCTCACTCATACTTAGAGCTGCCCGGTTTTCTTTACTTCAGAAAACTTTATAAAAGGACGAACAACTTTGTTCAAATTTGAGACATAAAGAAATTGATTTCCTTTGAAGAATAAAAATATATAGCCAAATAAAATTCTTAGTCTATAATAATCCGTTATTACTATTATACATTTTATAAATAGTAAAAATAAATAAATAAAAAAAAGAATAATAACTTTCTTTGTTGGAGAAAAAACCAGTTACTTATATTTACAGTTAAATACAACTAAAAAAAAAAAATAAGTAACCCGAGTTTATTTTTAAAATAGCAATTATAATGGCGCCAAGAGAGAAACCGAAAACATTGAAATCAAAGTAAATTATTACCCTCAGTTGTCGTCGTGACAGATTATTTTTATATGTTACAAAATCGGGCAAATATTTGTTTTAGATACTATTAAGTAAACCATATTGTTTATTTAACGAACCAAGGTTCATCAAATTAAATCGTCTGATATTAAAACTCGAGACAAGTATAATTAAAATAATGCATTGAAATGTGATAATTTTTAAATTTTAATGCTTGATTTATTTCATAAAAGTTAATTTTCCATAAAATCTCCAGAGATAATATAGTAAATTAAAATTAAAATTAGTCTAAAGTTATGTTATACTAGAGATTAATTATCTTTAAAGTCTTTTAGATGGTGTACTCTAACATGCCTACCATAATATGCATAATAAAAGCATTAAAATGCAGCTCTGATTTTTATATTAATATTCAACGCGTGGAATAGTGTTGATGAAAAATTGAAGATTACTCATATTTTGAATATTATCTTAGAGCTTAAAAGATCATTTTTGGAAAACATTTTTATTATATTACCTTATAGCCATAATCAGGCACGTAGACAAGGGTGGGCCTGGCCCCCCTTCGATTTAATGTGGCCCAGGGCCGGCCCCCCCCAAAATTAAAATTCAATTATTTTTATGAATTATCAAAAACGTGCTAGGCCTAGATATACATTGAAATTATTATTAATTTGTGATTACTATTGAGTAATACAGTTATTATTATGGCTGTATTTTCATTTTTATATTCATAGAAAACGTTATTTGAAAAAGATAACGTTCTAGACGTAATAATAAATGGAATAGTAATTACTCCAAACGTGGTTGTAGGTAAATTTTTTTTAACTCTGGTCCAACAAATGATAACAAACTACCAAGTATCTGCATTGATTAGAATCTAGTTGATTACAAAATTCGATGAGTATACTCTATGAAAATATTTTTTATAAATCTTATCTTTAATTTGTTTCTTTTTTTATAATTTAATAGTAATAAAATAGGTAATTTATTTGTTTTTATTAATTTTTTATTTGCGTGCTCTAAATAATAGTAATAAAAATATGACTAAAAAAAGGCAGGAATTGTTTTTAATTTTAAATAAAATAAATTTTACATTGTTTATAATTTATATTTATTTTAAAATTTTTTATAACTTATTTATTATTAGTATTTAGGAATAAATTATTTTTTCAAAATAGCTTAAAAGTTGAAAAATTAAATCAGCTTATGTTTACATCATTATATTATCAGCTTCGATGCAAAGCTGAGAAGGTATTGGTTTTACTATGATGTGTTTTTTTTTGTGTCTGTTATCACTTTTTCTCAGTCTCACCGTACCGATTTCTTTCAATGATAAGTCAAAAGATCACAAATCATATCTAGTCGAAGACATTACCCTCTAAATTGAAAAAATTTCCCTCGTTCCCCGTAAATGGGAGAAAGCCCCCAAAAAATTACAAATTTAAAAATCACTAATTTTCCATTTTTTTTACTTAAAATTGCCATAATTTTTTTATATATATGTATGGTATTGTTACATTTCATTTGATATATTTTTTTTATAAATCTGGCCCTTTACCTGCCCACGGGGGGGATTTAAAATGACAACTTTTTCACAAAAAATTAACTTTTTCCACTTAAATTTTTAAAATGTTCCGGAAAGTCTGACACTTTTATCTATATCTTAAATTAAATCTAATGTAATGTACTATTTTATTTAAAAAAATTTCGGATTTTATTTTGTCCTCGCGGTGAAAATTGCTACCAAATGCTATTTTTGTGTAAAAATTCTCGATTTTATATTTTACATTTTTAACTTAATAATGCTATAACTTTTTGAAAAATGTATGGATCAGCAAAATTTTTTTATGAGAATTAATATTTTTTAATAATCCCTTTTTCATTCGACATACTTTATCTAAATCAGGATATTAATAAGGAAATAGCAGATCATGTAACTTTTGGAATAATCCACCAATTTTTTAAAAATAAACACAAATTTTGAACTTGTAAGATTCATAGAATGGAATACTTTTTAAGGAGGAGTGGTGGGAGCCCCCCCCCACAAGCTTTTCATGGGAAACAAATTATGGAAAATGATACAAGGGCCCAAAATTGTTGGCCCCTCCAATAAACATTTTCTGGCTACGTGCGTGGCCATAATTCAGGATGAATGATTCATTAATTTAGAATTAATCTTATACTCCAATAAGATGTGTTGAGATGAGGTTTTTCCTTGTCATTTAATAATGAAAACTCAATTGCGTGAAAAACTTTATCGAGTACTATTATAAATATCTACATTTCTAATTCAAAATACTCAATTGTTGGTTTAATTAATTCAAAAAATTAATTTTAGTTTTTTTATTTGAAGGCATTTGTACAGCATTATACATTAATTTACATGGCTTCCTTTTCCAATTAAATATATTTTATATTCTACTTATAATTCAGGTCTTCTTGAATTTACTTTAAACCTTAATTTAAATAAAAATTAATTTTTATCACCAAGAATAATTGGAGTTTCACTGTAATTTTAGATATGAAACTTAAAATTAAAGTCAATGGTAAAAAAAATATTGCATTAATAATTTTTTTTTGCTTATTAAAATTGTTTAGATTTACAAACAAAGATCTTCTAAATTTGTTCATTTTAAATTTAATTAATCTTAGATATTCAGATTTAATGATTTTTCAAGTTATTTCTTACATTCTAAATTAATAAAAATAAAAATATAACCATAAAGCAAATTTAGCTAAATGTTTACATATTTAAAATTAATTAATTTTTCTTTTTTTTATTATCCTATTGTTTTTTATTTGATAAATACATGATACATCCATAAACCATATAATCGAATAAAAAAAAGAATATATTATATCTAAAAATAAATTTCAATTTTATTGATTTTGCGTATTTAATAAGATATTTTAATATTCTCTGCCTCATAGATTAATCTGCGAAATATGAAATATTATGGTGTATATTTTTAAATACTTTATTAGTGTATATAACCATTTATTTAGTAAAATCCTAGTTTGAAACAATTAACCATTTAATATTTTCTGAGAATTTACCGAATAAAAATAATTAAATTGGGGAAACTGTCAAATAAGCTATCAATTATATTATCAGTTATATTATACATAATATAACCAACTTAAACAAACTAAACTTATCTAATTTTTTTTTATGAACAGCTAAGAAGTTTAATATTACCTCGACTATGACGAGATCGTACTTTGTTTTTGTTCTCATCAAATCATTTAAACGACCCGAAGACATGACTCCTTCACAGTTGTCTATTCCATCGTCAAGGATTACCAACATTTCTCTAATAAAACCATTCCCAATCACAAGTTCAGTTGTCAAATTTTCATATATTGGTACACTATCTTTGATGCTATAATCATTGTAAACTCCTTTCCAATCTCCTTGTTTTGTGTTGATGGATGTTTTAGGAAAGTGACTGACAACAGTAATGTTATGTCCTCTTGCTGCTAGTGCCTCAGATATCATTTGGAACATATAAAAGTGGCTCTTAGCGCTAAATGGGAATATTGCTAATATGTTGTAGGAAGAAACATTCTGAATAATTGATCCCATTATGATCAATAGTTGTAACATTACTAGCTTCATTGTTCAAAAATTGTCTATTAAACTAGACAAAAAAAAAATGTCATTTAAAATTATGGGGTACAAAAAGTTTAATTTCTATTTCAAGAATAAAAGTAATAAAAGTTTAAGCTACATTGAGCACATTCATGTCAAATAATTTAACGCCATGTTTTAGAAAAATGTATTATGACCTAAACTAAAGTTTATTTTTTCAATTTTTGCAGGCAATGGCAAAATATATTGGAGTAGTCGGAAAGCAATATCAGTAAACGGTAAGTGATACTTATGGTTTATAGAAACATTATTGGTAAAGGTATGATATCCAAAGAGTACTCATGACTTTAGAATAAAAGTTAAACGATGTTAGTGTCACTTAAAAATCATTTGCAGTAATAAATATCTAATAATACTAAATGAAAAATAAATGTCTTTTCAATAATGAATAGGGAATTGTTTTTGAGTGAGAAGTAAATTAAAAATCAATTTTCAAATGTTTCAAAAGAATCAATTTTTTTAAAGCTCTTTGAAGTGTTTTAAATATATATGAGCGTAAATATTGATCACACAACTTTTTAGCTAATAAGTTAAAATGATAATTAATTTTATATTTATAGACAGCTACTGTCAAGTTAAATTTTACAATAAAATAAAATAAAAGGCTCAATAAAAAAAAAACCCGATGGAATATTATAAAAGTAACAGATAAATAGACTACATATTTCTAAATGAAAACACTTGATAATATATTTTTATAAGTGTTGCAATAAATGGCAATATTCCAATTTCTTAAAGGTTGTAAAATTTTGAATTTTATACTATGCACTTCAATTAGTACACAATTAGTTGCATTGATTAAAAGCATCACAAAACATCGAAAGGTATTTTAAAAAAATATCAACTGTCAGGTTTATTAGTTTTAGTGTTGAGTAAATGTTAAAAGAGATAACATTGTTTACTAATGTATATATTATACTGCTACCTAACGGATATCTCTAAACCCACTTGAAATCGTTGCACATGACATCGTTATTAAACATTATAATGTACGCCTACATGTGTTAAAATCAATTGTTTTCAAATACGCTCACAAAATATTGTCAGTAACAAAATATTTACCGACAGACTCACTTTGATGTAGAACGTTGTCACCAAGAAAACACTGAGTCGATTTTCGAAAACTTGCAATTATCAATTGTTTTGTTGAAAAAATAACATATTTCATTTAAGTTTCGTAGTATACGCGTTTTTAAAAATATTATCGACACGACGGAGTTGGCCGCACAGAACAGGACACACGTCGTATAAAAAAAAGTGACTATCGTACAACTGCATGTGTGTGGCTTATACGCTGAATTTACCGTCACAGCAATAAATACTAAAACGCACATGTTTGCCTTGATTGGTTACAGCAGTTTCTACGTCGTGATAACTCACAATCTGCTAATCAAAACAAATTTGTATGAATGAAAGTACGGACTACATAGAAACGATTCAATTGCGTTACTTAATTGCTGAGTTTCGAGCTACTCTTAGTGCTAAACAAATACACGCAGCTTTGCATTGTGTTTACGCCATTCTTCTTAGAAATAATTTCATAATTCAATTAGTAACGTGCTTGAAACTATATCAATGTAAAAATAATTGTAACATTTAATATTTCCGATGGAACAAAAGTTCAAAATAACTGATCGCACGTCATTCCTTTACATATTTACTGTTATGTTAAATATCATTTTGGAATACATGACAAATTGGAAATGGAAAATAATTTGCTTTAATTAACTTGTATCAAAAGAGTTTTTATATTGAAATCTTACTAGATTTTTATTTGAACTACACGTTTAATTCATTATAGAAATTATTTTTATATAATAATTTGTCAATTATTACTAAAATTTTAAATTGTTGCATATTAAAGCTGTTATTGTTAAAATTAATTATATGGAATCCTTCCATTATGATATTTCCATATGGGTAATAATATTTATTATTTCTAATTTTTCTTATTTTATAAAGAAACACTTCGATAAGAATCTTTATTAGTTTTTCGTTTTCATATTACAAAAAAAAAAAAGTTCTTTAGAGCTCTTTTTAAGTTTATTATTAAATTTTTTTTATATTTGACATTTTCTATATATTGAATTATTATTTTTTTATTATATGAATTTAGATTTACATCATGATAGAATGTTTCGATAGTATATCCCCTTAATAATGAGAATTCTTACCTTAATATTTTTCTGTTTTTAAAAAAACAAAAAAATCAGAAAACTAATTTAATTTTTAATTTTTTGTTGGAAATTATTTAATTAATATATGTAAGTGATATTGTAGAAGTATTAGAATAAATTTTTGAGTTGGTATTCAAAAAATTCATTTAGAAGATATTTTCCATCTCTGCTCTAGTTGCCCCAACGTATAATAGGATTTTATTAATGATCAACTGTTTTTTTCCATAGACATAGGAAGACTTGTATGAGCTTAGCACCTCCGAAATTTGACATAATTATATACAGAGTAATCGGTTTATAATAAATAACTCGGTTATTCGCAAAATAAATACACTATTGAAATAAAATCTTTGATTTCTTTTATTTGCATGTATATCTTGATTTACTAGTATAAACTAAACATTTAATAATAACTTTTTACAATCATCCCTTATAACTTAAAGGGCTGATATCTTTTTTTTTTTTAAGGCAACATATATATTTAACAAATGAAATAGGAAACAATATAACTAAGAAAATGAAAACTTTTGTGTCAATACTATAAAAATGATTCTAATTTTATACCTAGTCGGGACAAAAAGTACGGTCGAGAAATAGATAGTGATAAAAATAGCAGCTAATACCCATTCATCACCATCATTCATTACTATAAATTGTTAATAACTTCTGAAACACTGTTCCAAAATTCGTTATCGACCAGTTTACTTAACTACTTAATTAAATTATATTCTATTCTATAAGCTAATCAAATATGTATGTTGCCATTAAAAAAAAAAAAAATAGTTAACACACCTTTAAGTTATAATGCATCATTCTAAAAAGCCATTATTAGCTGATAAATCAAGAAATATATGCAATTAAAAAAAATTAAGAATTTTATTTCAATATTGTATCTCTGTATATAATTATATAAAATTAATTCTATAAGGGTAGAAGTTACGCTCCTCCAAATTTTTGTTGAAATTGCGCCTATGGACTTGTTATACATTTCAAAATGAGAAATTAATTACTGATAAAACGTAAACAATGTTCCATTGTGTGTAATAATGTGGTAATTTTGAGTTACAAGATTACTGTTCCTGAATGTTTGTCTCCTAAATTTCCAACAGGATAACGAAAACTATTGCACTGCATTACGCTCAGTGTGTATTTAATCGCATTACTTTTGTACTAATTACTACATGGAGAGTTCTGTGCAATGACGAGGTTAACAAGGAAGAAATAAATTTACACCTTTTTACTAGCACAAACTAACACGAAAGTCGTGAAGTTTATCTGCCGTATTTGATTTGCTATTGTTGCGGCTAATTTTTTAAACTTTCTACATAGTAATTGTTATTTGCACTGTTTGATTGTGTGTTGTTAAATTACTAATAAGCTTCCGTACATCTTATACATTTATAACAACTTAGTGTAAAATGATACAACAAATGATTGACTAACTACAATTTAACTAATAGGTATATACATATATCGATGATTAACTATATTATAGCTAAAATATAATCAATGTTTAATTATTTAACACTGAAAATAAAAACATTAAAATGAGTAGTGAAGTAGTATTTTATTATCTTTGCTGATAAATGTGTGACGTAAATTATAAATATGTAACAACTAAAAATTATGTATATTAATACTGTAATAGGTTTAATTTATGATTTAATTAAAATGAGAATGAAAACTTATGAATTTAGTAAAATACAACATATTATGGATTAATCCTACAGACATTTAATATTATGATCTAATATTTTATTATTTAAATTTTATATTGATGAAAAGTTGATTGAAAGTAACGATAATTACTAAAAACTTTAAAAAAAAATTCTTTTGTTTCTATGTAGTGAAAATGATTAAAATAAAATAACCATGGTTCAATACATTTTATGTTTAATTGATCTACAATTTTTCTAAAAAAAATTATTGGAATATGTATGTTTGCTACATAAATATGCGTTCAGACGTCTTTTGTATATGTATATATTTGAAAATGGGAATATTTAACAAATTACATACATCATTTGTTTGAATGGGTTCAATAATATTCCGTTCGGTTTACCTCCACTTTTAATAAAATGATTGGATGTGATTACTTGGGATAATTTTTTTTAGCTGATATTTGAATGTAACATAATTTAATCCTGTATAAAGAATAAAAAATATCCAAAAACGTTGAATGTATAAATATTTCATTTACTATTACCTGTTAACGATATTATACTGGTGAAACAAAAAATCGATAGCAAATACTTTAGGCTACGTTATAAATTAATAGTATGGTAAGCTTAAATATGGTGGGCGTTTGGTTAATATTTAAAAAGTTCTGAATAATGTTTATGAAATTTAGCTATAGAATAAAAAAAAGCACGCGTAACATACTATTGCTGAAATTTGAGGTTAACAAATACAATATTAAAATTAAAAATAATTTTTGTATTTATGTTAAAACACATTGAATAATACTTATTATAAGTAAGTAAAAAAATAATAATTAAATTCGCACTTAAGACTAAACATTAGTTTGCTCATTAAAAGACACACCAGTTAATTAAAATGCAAAATATTTTTAATATGTGCATTAAAAAATGAATCTAATTTATCTTAAGTATATTTTTTCACAGATTTGCTTTATTATTTCTGAAACTAATTTGATTTTTACTCTATAATTAAACCAGCAGGATATAACGAAAACATATTTCAATCTAATGATCACACGGACAGTTTTTAATTTGAAATCTATTGTTGTTTATTTTCTGCTTAGAGTATCAGACATTCAAAGTTTCCTACAGTCTTTACATCATCCATTATAAAACCCATGATGGATTATAGGTAATATTTTGATTATTCGTCAATGTCTTTGTAAACTTCTAAGTAATTTTTGGGTTTACTGACAACCGAAATCAATCTTCGATAAAAATATTTTATTGCCAGATATGTATGTTCTTCATTTTTAAAAAAAAATAATTTTTATTAAAAAAAAAATGTTTATCAATAAAATGAGTAACCTGTATAAATGTATTTTTTTATTTTATTGTATAAAAACTAAAGTTCATTTGACTAAAATGATAACAATGTATACGTGAAAAGACACATGTTTTATTTATTAACGAATAAAGAAAACCCAGCACAGTGGGGACGTGGTAATGTTGGATCAAGTATAAAGATATCTGTCAGTGATTAAAATCACTAGCATAAAAAACGCTTCTATGCAAATCTGTAGATGGTGTTTAATTTTAAAAAATTGGTGGATTATTCCAAAAGCTATATGATCTCCTATTTCCTTATTTATATCTTGATTACAAGTTTTATGATTTATAAGTGTAATATATGAATAAATATATAAAGGGAAACGGTTTTATTAAAAGAAAAAAGTATGTTGCATAAAAGAAGAATATAAATAGTAGTTATTATAAAAAAATTGTATTGATCTATATATTTTTCAAAAAGTTGTAGCATTATATAATTAAAAATATAAAAGAATTTTTTTACAAAATTCATATTTTTTTTTATTAACTTTGATGTCCGTTTTTACCATGAAAAAAAAATAACGTCCAAAATTTTTTTTTCCATAATAAAGTAAGCTTACATAAGCTTTAATTTAAGATATATATAAAAGTGTCAATATTTCCGAAACACCTTCAAAAATTAAGTTTAAAATGTTAATTTTTTGTGAAATAGTTATCATTTTGAATCCCCTACTGTAGTTAGATAAAGGGACAGATTTCTAAAAAAATATATATATAAAGATAGGTAAAAATATCATGGATATGTATAAAAAAAAATTATATTGATTTGTTCATTTTTGAAAAAGTTATGGCAATTTTAAGTAAAAAAAATTTCAAAAATTTCAAAAATTAGCAATTTTTAAATTTGTAATTTTTTGGGTGATTTTCATAATTTACGAGAAACGAGTAAATATTCACAACTTTTGAGGGTAATTTCTTTGACTAGATACGATTTGTGATCTTTTGACGTGTCGTTGAAAGAAATCAGTTCCTCGAGAACTGAGAAAAAGTGGAAACGGACACAAAAAAAACACATCATAGTAAAATTAATACCTTCTCAGCTTCGCATCGAAGCTAAAATTAGGTTCGTTTTTTTATAACTTTTATTTGGTAAATAAACTAAATACAATTCAAAACAAATATAAGA